TCAGTGACTGACCCGGAGCATTTTCCTTGCCTGATAAAATGCCACCTGCACCTTGCTGAGAATGACCCGAAACGCAGTGTCCCCAGCCTTGTTGCAGAACGTCCTTCCTTTTCAGCACCGAGCACAGACTTTGCACCCATGCATCGTTTCCAACCCCGATGTTATTTTTATTTTTATTTTATTTTATTTTATTTTATTTTATTTTATTTTATTTTTCCTCACCCGAGGATATTTTTTTTCCATTTTTTGTACAGATAGAGTGAGAGGAAGAGAGAGGAAGAGAGAAAGAGAGAGAGGGAAACATCGACGTGAAGGGACACATCGAGTGGCTGCCACCCGCACGACCAACCAGGGCCGGGGACAAACTGCAACCGAGGTACATGCCCTTAGCAGGAACCGAACCCGGGTCTCTCGGGACCGCAGGCTGATGCTCTAACCGCTGAGCCAAACTGGCCAGGGCATCCAACCCCGATGTTTAAAAGCACAAGAAGCAGGCATCTCGCCAACAACCGGAACCCCTAACCCTGGAACCCCTGGCCGCGCGTGACGTGGAACGCTCGAAAAGCTGCCGGGAGGCCTCGGCTTCACCACACGACGCTGACGTTTAATCTTTTCCCGAGACTAAAATCCCATCGACGGAGCGAAAAGCATCGCCTCCCCGCAGGCCCCTACCGAGGCTCAGGAGACCTGTTTCGGAGGATTTCCAAGGTGACGCCGTGGATGGCGCATTCAGAGAATAGTTTGTAAAGCTGTGTTGAGGGTAAAATGTCGCCGTTCAAATGGCCATCATCGCTCAACAGACGTCACATACTTTGCAGTGTATGATCAGCGAGGCAACATGGAATATCCCGGCCGGAGATCCGCGGTAGTTAACGTGTCCATTCGTGGGCCATGCAAAGAATGAAGTCTGCGTTCTTCCCCACTGACACGGCCCGTGCGGAGTCGCTGTCCACACGTCCGGGCCGCAGTCAGGATTGGGCCTTCAGGAGCCGAAGCATTTCTCAGGGAAGACACCTGAGCGCCTCCCGTACGGAAGGACCGTTAACCTCTCAGCAGACGGACAAAGAGCCGCCACGTGGTACCGAGTCCTCGGTGTGCACACAGGGAGCCCTTGCGAGTCCCTCGTGTCCTCATTCGGAACGCGGACACTCCCTTCGGGAAAAAGGCTGCGCTAACTCAGCTCGGCACCGGGAAAGGGGGTCCGTTCCGCTCACTTTACTCGGAGCCCCGCACACCAAGCCACGGAGCGAAGGGACGTTCCCCACAGGGAGTGACAGCAAGTCAGAAGCAGACATGGTGTTGGGAACACGGCCGGCCGGTTGGCCGCAGGGCGCTCGAGTCTCCGACGCGTGCTGTCCGGGCACGTGGGGCGGTCCCGGAGGGAGCCAGATGGACAGCAGGTAGGCAGAACCAGACAGCGAGGGGGCCAGGGAGTCTGCTCTTTACAGCACATCTCTTACTTTCTTTTCTTTATTGATTTTTTTTTTTTTAGAGACAGAAAGGGGGAGAGAGAGAGAGAGAGAGGTAGAAACATGGATGAGAGAGAACATCGATGGGCTGCCTCCTGCATGCCCCCCCGCTAGGGATCGCCCCACAACCTGGGCATGTGCCCTGACCGGGAATCGAACCCACAACCTCTTGGTGCAGGGTCGACGCTCAACCACTGAGCCACATCGGCCGGGTGCATCGCATATCCCTTGCCAGGGACCAAAGAGGAGGGATGGCTGTACCTCTCAGGTCACTGGAAATCCGGAGGAACCGCTACACAACCAGCGACCTGTGTCCACACACCCCCACGCTGCTGTCCCCGTCACCTGCCTGCCTTCCTGTGGACACAGCTGAGCTTGGTGCAGAACTGCTGGGTCGAATGAGACCCTACGCCCACCCCCGTGCCCCTGACCTTCCCTCTGCAGCCCGCTGCTCCGGGGCTTATCCCGCCTCGGGGGTGTTCCTCAGAACCCAGTCCAACGAGGAGAGAGCAATCTTTCTGTCTCTAACTGCAGAGTCTGCAAACTTCTCTGCTCCAAACACCTGTGAGGCAAGGCAGCCGCTTCACCCGACCGCAGGGCCAACTAAAATACCTGGGAACCACGCCCACAGAAACGTACAGGGGTGCTGGAGGACACAGGCGTGTCCTGCACGGAACACGGAAATGCTGTTCTGTGACTCTGTTGGTACCCACGAACTTATCGCCTTCCTCCCCAAATGGTCAGTATTTCTTACATCTGATTAAAAAAAAAAAATTAACACATTAGCCCGGCCGGTGTGGCTCAGTGGTTGAGCGTCGGCCCTGCACCAAGAGGTCGCTGGTTCGATTCCCGGTCAGGGCACATGCCCAGGTTGTGGGCCTGATCCCCAGTGGGGGGCCTGCAGGAGGCGGCCAGTCCATGTTCTCTCTCATCCATGTTTCTATCCCTCCCTCTCCCTTCCTCTCTCTCTGAAATCAATAAAGAAAAAGCAGTTGAAAAAAATTAGGACATCTATGTGTTCATGGTACATGCATACCATGGAGTACTACTGAGCCAGGAAAAAGAATGGGATCTTTTTTGGGACGACGTGGACAGACCCAGATGGTATCGCACTCATGAAATAAGGCAGACACGCAAAGACCCATGCCGTGGGATTCCACTTACATGTGGAATACAAAAGAAACAGATCAGAACAACTATAAATAAATTAAAAATAAGTCATCAATAAAACAGAAACACACCCCTAAATATAAAGGCCAAACGGATGGTTGGCAAATTGGGAGAGGGTGATGGGGATCAGTGAAATTTAAAAACATAGCCCTGGCCAGTTCGGCTCAGCGGTGAGCGTGCCGGCCCTCGGACCCAAGGGTCACGGGTTTGATTCTGGTCCAGGGCAGGTACCTGGGTTGCCGGATCGGCCCCTCACTCCAGGGGTGATCGTGCGGGAGGCAACCAATCGCTGTGTCTCTCTCACATCGATGTTCCTCTCTCCGCCTCCCTCCCTCCCTTCCACTTTATGTAAAAATCAATGGAAAAAATATTCTCGGGTGAGGACTAACAAAAATATGGAGGGACATGAAATAAAATAAAGACATTTTTGGTGAGCCCCGGAAAAGGCTGAACACAGTGTGCGGGATGAGTAATTGGGCCTCTCCGGTCCTTCCCATCCGGGGGTGAGCGGCCACTTCATTTCTTGCCCATCTCTGCACGTCTCACCGCGTCCCTGAAGCGTGACACACGCCACGTGTGTCTTGAAGCGGGAGGCGCGTTCACCGGGGTGCAGTGCGGTCAGCAAGCCGCACGCCGGGGAACCGCGTGGTGCTGGAGAAACTCGGACACCAGACACAGTCGTCATCATGGCCAAGAAACACTTTATTAACGTCCCGTTGCCCAGCAACGCCGCTCTGGGCGACCGTGACTGGATGCGCGCACGTGACCGATGGCGGCCCTCGGACACAGACCCGGCGCAGTCCCCTGTCTGCTGTCCTGTGGTCCCCGGGCCTCCTCCAGGGCGCCCCGTCCCCCTCCTTCCCGAATCCTTCCTCGCCTCGGGGCAGGGGGCGCGCCTCATCCCAGGCCGTGGTCCTGACCTTGTCAAACAAGGCCTGTCTCCGCGTTGCTGTTGAAATGCTAGGGATATAAAGGTGTAAACAAACCAAAACCCACATGTTCCAAGCTTCCAGACCGACCACTAGGACTGGGGTACATAACAAGCATTAGTACCACAGATGCTGGGGAAGCAAGTCGCTGGAACCGGATCTTCAGCAAAACGAACACACACAACACAACAGAACCTCGTGGGCACAGGCAACAGGTGGTGATTCCCGGGGGGAGGGGTGTGGAGGTGCAGGGGGTGAAGGGGGTCATGGTGATGGAAGGAGACTTGACTCGGGGGATGAACACGCAATACAACATACAGATGATGCCTTACAGAATTATACACTTGCATCCTTTATCATTTTATTAGCCAACGTTGCCCCAATCAATTCAATTTTTTTTTTTTTTTTTAAAGAAAGAAACGTTAGGTCTCTCCGGAACAAAATAATTCCATTGTCCTGCCGTACATGCCGGGCAAAACTTTCGGATGGTAAACAGTAGGACGATCCATTTCAAATAAATCTGCTTTTCTAAATACCTTCCAACATAACGGTCATCTAACTTTTACTGAGGCCAGAATTTCTGAAAGCTCATGAGACTTCTAAAGCTATAGGTATCCTTCATTTTCCCTTAACATTTAGAGATTAAAGTTAATTGTATACATAAATACGTGTTCATATACTCTACGCACAGGCTTCAAGTTGTTCATCCGCGACCCACATTCCAGCATCCTAAACTGTGAAAAGTCCGTCTGCGTGGACTTTCTTAAACTTTGACCCAACACGATTCTTTTTAAAAATAAATTCGTAACAGCAGCTTTAAATAGTTGTTGTCCTGTAACGTCAGCAGTTGTCCTGACCCGTTGCTGCCCTGCGGGTGCATCTTCAAGGAGGTGGTTTTCTAAACCGGCCTGACGAAGTGTCAGCAGTTTCCGGCATGAGAAACCTACCTTAACAGTAGGACGATCTGTGAACATCCACCGGTGTTAACGGAAGAGGGAGAACCATCACGTCCCTCTTTACAATCTACCTCGTTTGCGGAGAGAAAGAAACCGTGCCGACGTAAGTCCACAGAGTTTGAATAATGTTCGGTGTGTTCTAAATAATACTGATCGTGATCACCCTCCCGTCAATAGTGGGAACGTATCAGCATCGATTAGTGGCAACGCAGAGGGTCCCGTGTTCATGTCGCGTTGCCTAGGTCAGGATTCGCTGATGCTTCTTAAACTGTATTCTCTGTGCCCCGGGGGCGACGGCGGAGTCCCGCCGGCCGTCACGTCGTGGCAAACGACGCCCGGTGCCTTTGCTCACACACGTTGGCCGCGGATGGACAGGTTGGTGTGCACCGGAGGTGGACACGCCCCTTCCTCCGTCGTGCATGTACACGAGCGCACACACGTCCGCCACGGAAGGCGCACGGCTCACAATTGTCCCTCTGCGTGCAGCTAACCCTGACGTCTCCCCGGGGTCACCGTGGGCTCTGGTGGGGCCTTTGGGTGATAAGATTGAGAAAGGGTGCCGGTCCGAGGTGCTGGCCACCCTGGCTGCACAGTGACCCTGCCGACACCGTGGTGCCGAGGGAGGGGGAGCGGACACTGTGCGCCCCTCCTGTCCCCGCCGCGGCTAAGGGCTCCTTCCTCGGTCTGGCTGTTCGCGGGGACACTGGCAAGACAGGCCGGAGGACGAAGCACAGCACATCTGTAGCCAGGGCTTCCAGAGCAGGTTGCGCAGGGACAGCTGGTTGGGCACCTCCTGCACGGTGTGCGCGTGGCGGTCGGCGGCGTCCTGCATGGTGGCCACGATGTCCCAGAAGCGGGGCTCGGTGCTGGGCGTCACGGGGCTCCTCTCCCTGGGGTCTCGGGACAGGTCGAAGAGCAACGGCGGGTGATGGCGGGTGACGAAGTTCCCGTGACAGAAACACACGTGTGTGGGGAAGCAGCCGTTGGCGCCCTCGGGGCTGAAGTTGGGTGTGAAGAAAAAGGCCTTCCAGATGGACGTGCCTGGGTGGACAAGGACAGAGCCGTGTCACGGGGAAAGCGTCATGAGAGCCCCGCCCACCCGCTCATGCAGCGGCATCAGGACGGCCGGGCTTCCGCAGGGGACGCGGCCTTTCGACCACGGGCGCGATCTGGGCGTTTCTTGCACGCCAGGCGCAGGAGAGAAAACCCAGGCCTGCGATCCGGTGCAACCGGCCAGGAACGCAGAGGAAACAGGAACGCACAGCTCCTGCGGTGCACACCGCGCACGCCCTGGCTGCCGCATCGCTGCCTTGGCCCCGCTCACTCCCCCCTCCCTCCGTCTCTCCCCCTCCTGACTGTCCCCACTCTCTGATTTATTAAGCAATGCTTCGGGGGAAGAGGGGAAAATGCCTATTTGTTTCCCCGTAGAACTCAAACAGGATTGTCATTTCAGTGCCGTCAACTCTCCGCTCGGAAATGTCGAGTGGGCACTTGATAAACACACAGTGATTAAGAGGCTACAAGCTCCCGGCTCGGCTCCCAGCGGTACTCCAACGTCCTCGTCCTCAACGTACAGCCTGGGTTTCTGCTCGAAACAAGACGGGAGGAAGAGGTAGGCTCACTGCTAACGCGTACAACCGTGGATGTGCACACACGCACGCACACACGTGCACACACATGCACACACATGCACACCTGCATGCACACAAAGAAACACACGCACATGCATACATACATGCACACGCAAACCTGTGTGCACACACACGGAAATGCACACATACATGCACACCCGTGTGCACACGCCCATGCACACACACATGCACACACACACACATGAAAACACATGCACATGCACACATGGCCATCAGGAGCAATTGGACATGCAGGACCTCATTGAGCATTTCATTTTCTCAGCCATGAGAAAGCCCCAAGGTATCCAATCCACACCCTTGTGAGTCTGGGACTGTGGATGGGGGGCCCGCCCACTGCCCACCACCCGTGGGGAACAGACATGACCTTTGGGGGTGACACAGATGTTCTAACCTGAGATTTGACTACACTTGCAGAACTGTGTATGTTTACTGAAAGTTACTGAATTGGGCCTAACCGGTGTGGCTCAGTGGTTGAGCGTCGACCCTGCACCAAGAGGTCGCCGGTTCGATTCCAGGTCAGGGCACATGCCCAGGGTGTGGGCCCATCCCCAGTGGGGGGCGTGCAGGAGGCAGCCAGTCCATGTTCTCTCTCATCGATGTTTCTGTCTCCCTCTCCCTCTACCCTCTTCTCTCTGTAAAATCAATTAAAAAATATATTAAAAGTTACTGAATCGGAACTATATGGTCTGTATTTTATACCTTAATAAAGGTGTTAAAAATTCCAAATCAGGGGAATTTACTAACCCCAGAGAAGGACGGTTAAATTGTTTAGAAAATACAAGTTCTGTGTTCCGTGAAATCCCCGAATATTAAAATTCCAGAAAGATGTTCCAACCATTACGCAGTGACGGACTCATTTCCTGCATGTTCCCCGAAGTCCTGGCTTCCTGCCGAGCAGACCGCTCACCGAACACCCCGATGCGGGTGTGCACGCCGTGCCCGGGTGTGGAAACGTGGCGGACCACAGCAGAGGACACGCGTGGGCTGACGGCTCAGGGGCGGGGTGGAGTCTCTCCCACGCTGTCCTGTCCGGTTCCCACACACGTGCGCGGCCCCGCCTGCTAGTGCGCCCCACACCTAATTAACTCGCTTATGGCCACGGTGACTTTTATAATTACGGCTACGTAGCCGCCCATTGCCCCCAACACAACATGCATTGAGAGACTCAACTCCAAGCAATTGTCATGAGTGTGTGCACGGTCCCCAGACAGCCACTGGCCTCCCCCACGCGTGGAGCCTGTCTGGGGGTTTGGGGGAGACCTGGCCGGCTTCCAACAAGCACTGCGGATATTTTGCACGTGACTGCACCATGGGAGGCCCCCGGTCTGTGCCGGAGCGGATGGGGAGGCAGGATGGAGCGTCTGCGTCCATTTACGTGTTCAGCATGTGTCTCTCCTTCACACGGAGCCAGCGTGGCTCCCAGGCACAACTCCTGGACGCGGTGACCGTCCCCAGCAGACTTTCAAAGAGAAGCGGGTACCATTAACATTCCTATCGAAGCCTCTCGTCCCCCCCTGCCCCCACCAGGTGGGACTGATGTCCTCCAGGAGCCTCTTCTGCGGCGTCGCGGCAGCCACTTGGACTGTCCCTGGGTCGGGGTCGGCCGGGACACACCGGCACGCAGCTGCACGCGGGGACCCGCTCTGCCCTGGCCGAGGGCACCGCAGCCTGAGGGCGCTCGGGACTGGGCATGCATCACGTCCCGCTGCGTGTACAAGCCCGAGAGAGTCCCGGCTGCCGGAACAAATCCGTTTTAAGAGCTACTCTTTCCCTGTTGCTTTTGCAAGCGGTGCCCACGGATGCCCCCTTATCGAGTTAGCGCCCTGCTGCCTGGAGGGGACCTGGGGGGTGGGCTTCACCGCCAGCCGGAGACCTCAGGCACCCCGGCCCGGGAGGGGCCGGTGCTCGCTCCCTCGAACGTGCACAGAATGAACATCGTTTTCTGAAGAATCGTTGGGAAGCCACACACAGGTGTCGGCCTTTTGCATCTGCTCATTCGGGTTTTTAAAACGCTTTATAAAAAGACACAGTGCGGATTGTCTGTACGAGGGCCTCGGACCACTCGGGACGCGCTCGACAAGAGGAACGGGGCTGTGTTTTATTTTCATAGGGACCCCCAGAGAGGCGTCCTGCGATTCACCCGGAATCCCGGCACCCACGTCTTCAAAGGTGTTATTTCTAAGGAAAAACACCAAACCCCAGTTTTCGGATGAAACTGGACACGCCGCCTAATTCCGATAGACAGATTTAGTCCCAAAACTCTTTGCAGAACTTATTTCGCCCCGGGTTTCTCTCCATCAACAAGAAAACTGATTCCAAACAATGTACTTTTCTCTGCTCTACAAAGCGTGGCTGGCTGTTGGGTGGACACTGCATTTCCCTGCCCGTTGGTGTCCTCGCGGGTCTGGGGCAGTGACCAGCGTCCTGTGCACCGTGGCTCAGTGGCTGGTGTAGTAGAATGTGCTTGAACTCTGCCTGAGCTTTCACTGGCCTTGTACTGAGCTCCAGGGTCTGACAGTTTGGGGTCACGCCCCAGCTCTGCGATTTTCCAGCCGTGACGCTGGGCGTGCTATTACCTGCTCTGTGTTCTCGTCCCCTCGTCGAGGTGAGGACAATGGTACCGACCTCGGCGCACGGCTTAGAGGATGCACAAGCCCTTCCTGCCCCGGGCGTCTCGGATGGGGGCCAGGCGCGCAGGGAGACCCCCGAGCTGTGCCGCGTGCGTTCTCCAGGCCCGAGCGCCCGTTGCCGTGGCTTCTGTTCAGTTCGAACGGCTTCCACACCCTGCTCGGAGTGGACCCCTCAGATTCGCGTTTTTCTGGGGTCCGTGCTGGGAGCATCTCCCACGACAGCGCCCCCTGAGGTGCTTTGTGAATCCATCGAGGACTGTGGTCTTCTCCCTTTGCGAGAGACCCACGCCCCGGGACCCGAGGCTCGCCTCCCGTCACGGTGACCACTGAACGGCCGTCTGGGAATCCACGCCGTGGCCCCCCAGCCCAGGGGCCCTCCTTGCTTTCAGAACACGCCTCCAGCATCACCCTACGAGATCCCTTATCCTCAGGCAGCACCGCACACCGACACCCCAGGTCCTCTCTGAGACCCGAAGATCTGAGGCAGGGGCCCCACCCGGGGCCGCCCCTTCTCACCGGCGTCTTCTACCTCAGTGGCCACGGGACCCAGGGCGCTGTGGGGCGGCCCTCGTCGGGAGCCCCAGGCTCTTCCTCCCTGTTCCCGGGAGCCCGGACCCTGAACCAGCCAGCAGGGCCTCCTGGATCAGACCCCAGCTCCTGAGGCCGGCTCGGCCGGAACTCACGCCGCCGTGGTGTGGAGAAGCCGCAGGTGCAGGCGGCTGCGCCAGGGGCCCCCCAATGCACCCCCCGCGGGTCCCCCCACCCTCGCTGCCCCTGGTGCCAAGTGTCGGAAAACCCAGCACGGCCTTGGTGCGGGCTGGGCTTGCACACCAGGGAGCGGCAGTGTGCAGCCTGGCACAGCGTGGGTACACAACGCGGACCACACTCTTCCCTCCCCTTCTGTGTGTGCTCGGGTCCCCCCCGTCAATGCTTTCTGTGCACGCGATGGTCACTGGCAGGTGCTGGGTAAGTCAACAAATGAATGAGAGGATGGGGTGAGCAGGTGGGGCAGAAGGACAGGAATGGGGGGTCCTCGTGGGCAGACAGGACGCCACGCGCACCCCCTGCCGGTCCTCGGGGCCCAGCAGGACGGGGACACGGCCACATGGTGAGGACAGGAAAGCAGGCTGCTTGGAGGCGCCTGGTCATGGCAGGTGGAGGAACAAGGAGGTCAGAGACCTCGGAGACACCCTCCCCTCGGGGTCCCTTGCCATCGAAGCAGGGCAGGTGTAAGGCGGTAACGTGTGCGCACAGGGCATCTGTGCGTCCGGGCGGAAAGCCATTGGGGGCGCGGGGCACAGCCACGCCCAGGCGGCGGGCCGGGCGGCGGGAAAGCCAAGCTCGTGTCCCCGACGGCCGTGTTCGGAAAGATGACGTGGAGGGTCCTGCTCACGGTCCCCCGAGGGGCGGAGACACCCAGGCGGCGGGTGGAGAGCGTGTCGGTGACGGCAGTCAGAGCGCTGGCTGTCTGCGGGGAAGACGCTCTGACGAACCAAGGGGCCCACGCTGCAGGCAGGCGGTGCTGGGTCCAAACCCAACTTTGCCGCCGGTACCTGACCTCCAGCACCGGTGTCCCCCCGATGATGGGGACCTGCCTTCGGAGACACTGGGCCCTGCTCCCGGCCTGTACCCAGGCACCGAGAGCTCCCGGACACACGGGTCCTATAAAGACTCCACGCCCCTGTCCCTCTAGGCTGGGTGGGCGCAGCTGCCCGCGCGTGGGACACCATCGGGAGTCTGTGCGTCTTCCTCGGCGCAT